GCTGGTTGGGACCTCCACAGAGAACATCTGCTCCCTCAGACCTCCTGATCCAGATGGAATGTTGAGTGAAGTCATCTAACCCTCTCATATCTCTCCATCGTGTGTTTCTATGTTTCCAGGACACGCCATGGAGAAACCCTCAAAGGATCCTCTGACTTTATCTCCAGGTTGTAAGATGGAAGATGAGGACATCACAGCAGATTGTGCGGGAGAAGAGACAATGAGCTCAGCTATGGATGGTGGACTTCACAGTGTGGATAGAGCATGGAGTCCCTCTGACTCTGAGCAACCTCGTCCTGTGGGGGATGGTGCCGGAATTCAGGGGGAGAAGACATTTTCCTGTCCTGAGTGTGGGGAAAGTTTTAGCTCTGATTTAACTTTTTGTGTTCATCTGAGTTCTCACATGGGTGACAAGTTTCTTTACTGTTATGAGTGTGGGAAATGTTTTCTTCGTAAATCAGACCTTGTCACACATTACAGATCTCACACGGGGGAGAAGCCATATTCCTGCTCTGAGTGTGGGAAATGTTTTACAGCAATGACCTCTCTTAACAAGCATAAGAAATTACACACAGTCGAGAAGCCATATTCCTGCCTCGAGTGTGGGAAAGGTTTTTTACATAAGCGCACTCTTTCTGTTCACCAGAGATCGCACACGGGTGAGAAGCCATATTCCTGCACCGTGTGCGGGAAACGTTTTTCACGGAAGAGCCCTCTCACCATTCATCAGAAATTGCACACGGGGGAGAAGCCATATTCCTGCTCAGAATGTGGGACAAGTTTTTCACTTAAGGGCAGTCTTACCACACATCAGAGAGCGCACACAGGTGAGAAGCCATATTCCTGCTCTGATTGTGGTAAATGTTTTCAAACATGGACCTCTTTTAACTCGCATAAGAGATTACATACCGGCGAGAAACCATACTCGTGCCCTGAGTGTGGAAAAGGTTTTTCACAGAAAAGCAATCTTTCCAGTCATCAGAGGTCGCACACAGGTGAGAAGCCATATTCCTGCCCGGAGTGCGGAAAACGCTTTTCACAGAAGGGCCCCCTTTATAGTCATCAGAAATTGCACACGGGGGAGAAACCATATTCCTGCTCCGAGTGCGGGAGAGATTTTGTACAAAAGGGAAATCTTATCAAACATCAGAGAGCGCACACAGGTGAGAAGCCATATCCCTGCTCTGATTGTGGTCAATGTTTTACAGCAAGGACCTCTCTTAAGACACATAAGAGATTACACACAGAGGAGAAGCCATATTCCTGACCCTAGTGCGGGAAAGGTTTTTCATGGAACTCCTATCATACTGAACATCAGATAAGCCACACATGGGTAAAGCTGTTTTTTTGATGGTGCAGCGCAGGACACAGATAGATCCAGAGACGTCTACATGTCAGAATTTCAATTTTCCTGCCCTGAGTGTGGGAAATGTTAAACACAGAAATCAGAACTTGTCAGTCTGAGTAGTTTTGTATCTACGGCTCGTACTTGTTGGAGGAGCCGCCCCTCCCCCTCCTCATACATCTCGGTGGAAGGGGGGCGGGTTCTGTAGTATACTCCATTTATAAGGTCATCAGCTGTTAGAACTTCCTTCAGAGAAAAAGGCTTAAAGGAGAACTATGAGATGAGTGATTTTCATTGGACGCTAGTTTGTGTCCTCCCGTTGCCCTAAGGAGAACTATGGGGAAAGCCCTGACCCCGTAGTTCTCCTTTAACCAAGGCCTCGCGGTACCCATCAGATATCCAGTTAAGCGCCATCCTATCCAATAAAGCCAGGACATCAGTAGACGAGCAAGTTAGTGTGATATCTTTCAAGTTCCTGCACAATAAGATCAGGTCGGGTGAGAGGTGAACCATCGCGTGTCCTAAGTTCAGAGACCACTGTTACCGGTCTATCGTTTTGGGACATCGTAGCCGGCAGTCTTCCATTGCTTGCGCTTATATAAATCATTCCTAACAACCTCCGTTAAGTGCAACTGTATCATTAATATATAGCGCCAACAGTTTGCGCAGCGCTGTACAATATAAGGAAGACATCACAATACAATTCAAGACAAGATGGTAAGGAGGGCCCCGCCCCTGAGGGCTTACAATCTAAAAGGGGAGGGGCCAGTGATACATGAGGAGGGAGCTGTGTGGGGATGAATGGTTGAGGTGGGATCGGCTTCCCTGAAGAGATGAGTCTTTAGGGATCGCCTAAAGGCAGTCAGTGTGGGAGATAGACGGACAGGTTGGGGTAAAGAGTTCCAGAGGATGGGAGAGACTCTAGAGCCCTGGCTCTCAACTGGTGGGTCGTGACCCCATGTTTAGTGGGTCATAGCGTGCCTTCCACATTTTTAGGTGAGAGGCTCCTCAGCCTCCCCCTAGCACAGCGCTGTCAGTTCTCACACCAAAATATGCTGCCTGGGACCCGGTGTAAGCCCAGTGTAAGCTTGAGGTGAAGCGGCTATGGGCACGAGGGAGCTCATCCATATGTACAGCTCCCTCGTGTGTCCTATAGAGGTGCCTGGACTGGAGTCCCAAACGCACCTCCCATCCACGGTTCGAACGCAGTGCAATTTGGGTCGCCCCCTAATGACCGAGGACAAATTTGGGTCCTGAGGTTACACAGGTTGAGAACCACTACTCTAGAGAAGTCCTGGAGGCGAGCTTGGGAGGAGCTGACAAGGGAGCTGGAAAGCAGGAGGTCAATGGATGAGCGGAGGGGACGGTTGGGGTGATATTTTGAGACAATGTTTGAGATATAGACGGGGGCGGAGCTTATTTTGGAGATGCTACGAAGGTGAAAGCGGCAGGATTTGGATAGGGATTGGATGTGGGGAAGAAAGGTGAGGTCCGAGTCATGGATGACACCAAGGACCATGGCATGGGGGGGGAGGGTTAGATAGTTGTGTTATCAAACTCTAGGTAAAAGTTGGGGGAAGGTGCACGCAATGAAGATAAACACCCCACCCACCCAGCAACAAGCCAGGAAACATAAACAGTGCCGGAGGGTTTGTTCCCTAAACCAGAAAGAAAACATAGAAGAAGATGTTCTATTGGTCAGCTAAGGAACCCCGCGGGCAAAACTTTCCATGAACAAGAAAAGGAGAGCTAGAAGGGAAAGTATAACGGAGAGTTCCATCAGGTGGCGCACGGGTTAGTAGACAGATGAACCATTGGCAGGTCACTGCGAAGGGACACAAATAACCAGAAGACAAGTCCCGCGGGGAACACACGGAGGAGCGAGGCGGGTGTACCCGAGGTGCATCTACGAGAATCCAGCCAGGTGGTCACAGCCGCGGGAGAATCGAAGAAACGGGCCTTTCCCCCATCAGTGACTCGGATAGAGGGGACTGTACTTGAAACCTTTGTCGCGGAGTCTCCGGAGAACCTCAGTAAAGGGGCGGTGGCGTTGTTGTTGGATCCTCAGAAGAATGATCTGGAAATAAGATAAGGCGGGAGTTCTCCTATAGCAGAGAAGAATGCTTGCGGGCCGATAACCAGGTCCCCGTGGCGGTAATTCAGGAAAGTCCGTGGTGGTGCCTCAGGGATAATGACCTTTGCTCCTTCCAACATTTGCAATCCAGATTTGGTCCATCCCATAATAACTTCATTCAAATTAGACGCGTTTTACTTTCTCAGTTCAGGTCTGATCCTCAGTGCCTCCCTCCCGCTCCGGCTTTAGATGCCCTTGTTACCTCAGAGACTACAAAGCAGTGGCGTAACAATCGCCATGGCGACCCAGGCGGCCGCTACGAGGCCCGGGGCACAGAGGGGGGGGCGCTATGGGTCTGGCTCGCTATGGCATCTTATGCTGTTGGCTTTCGCATGTCGGCTGTGAGAAGAATGCGCTGCGCTTTCAGAACACTGAGCGTTCTTCTCCACAGCCGCTGCGTGGGAGAGGGCTGGGCCCGGCAGTGGAGTACCCTGAGGCTGGGACTCTTACCCTGAGGCTGGGACTCTTACCCTGAGGCTGGGACTCTTACCCTGAGGCTGGGACTCTTACCCTGAGGCTGGGACTCTTACCCTGAGGCTGGGACTCTTACCCTGAGGCTGGGACTCTTACCCTGAGGCTGGGACTCTTACCCTGATGCTGGGACTCTTACCCTGAGGCTGGGACTCTTACCCTGAGGTGGGACTTAGCATACAGGCGCTGAGCCGAATCTTGTATTTTGTTTGAGGATAAGAATAAAAGTTTCTTTGCTGATACGGCCGGCTACGTGTCATATCCGCCCCGAATATTCCACGGGGTGTAATGATTGGTGCTCTCGGATACGGTCCCATTGGTTACATCACCAATCACAGTCGACTCATTGCTGCCATTTCTATTTCTCCTGCTCCTCTTTTGACCTCTTACATGCCGAAAAACGTTGTGCCGTATGCGCCATTATGTCATTATTTGGATGACATCACATTTCATACCTTATGTATCCTAATCCGCATTTTGTTTGCGGATTCCTTTTACTACGTGACCCGTTTAATTTCACCCCATCATTTGTGCTCGAGTCACGTGACTTCTTCTTTTCTTTTTTGTTTTCTTTATATTAACCACTTGCTGACCGCGGTGTTACACCCCCTTCCTGTGGCGGCCATTGTTCAGTATTCAGCGCTGCGGTACTTTGACTGACATTTATTCCGTCATGCAGCGCTGTACTGAAATTAATTTTATACCATTTTTTGGGGACAGATAGAGCTTTCTTTTGGTGGTATTTAATCACCACTGGTTTTTATTTTTTACTATATTCAGGAGAAATTACAGAAAATTTTGGAGAAAAAAAAAGTTGTTTTTTTAACATTATGTTAGAAAACATTTATTATTACCCACTTTTTTGGGGGTAAAATATAAAAGACGGGGTCACGTCTGGTAAATAGACACCAAACATGTCAAGCTTTTAAATTGTTTAGCCGGCGGATCGCTTGTATGTTAACAGGCATCGCTGCCTGTTTTTACATTTTGGGCTTTTCCCACTCGCGCGATGGGGCGTGGCTGAGCGGACGTCCAAAGGCGCTCCGCTCAGATCTAGAGAGCTCCCGGCCGGCTGTTTTTTTTAAAAGGCCGGCCGGGAGGTGATTAAAGTTGTTTTCTATAAAAAGCTCAATAAAAACTATCTCATTAGTTTAGAAACCAGAAGCAAGATACGAGACAAGACTACGATACAGGATCAAGATACGAGACAAGACTGCGATACAGGATCAAGATACGATACAAGACTACGATACAGGATCAAGACACGAGACAAGACTACGATACAGGATCAAGATACGAGACAAGACTACGATACAGGACCAAGATACGAGACAAGACTACGATACAAGACTACGATACAAGATACAAGACAAGACTACGATACAGGACCAAGCTACGAGACAAGACTACGATACAGGATCAAGATACGAGACAAGACTACGAGACAAGACTACGATACAGGACCAAGATACTATACAAGACTACGATACAGGATCAAGATACGAGACAAGACTACGAGACAAGACTACGATACAGGATCAAGATACGAGACAAGACTACGAGACAAGACTACGATACAGGATCAAGATACGAGACAAGACTACGAGACAAGACTACGATACAGGACCAAGATACTATACAAGACTACGATACAGGATCAAGATACGAGACAAGACTACGATACAAGACTACGATACAGGATCAAGATACGAGACAAGACTACGAGACAAGACTACGATACAGGACCAAGATACGATACAAGACTACGAGACAAGACTACGATACAGGATTAAGATACGAGACAAGACTACGATACAGGACCAAGATACGATACAAGACTACGAGACAAGACTACGATACAGGACCAAGATAGGACTACGATACAAGACTATGATACAAGACAGAGAAGTGCGAGATATAATATGGTAGGATACAGGCTTGTGCAGACAGAGCTAGACTGAACTATCACAAAAATAACTTCAAGCACCACGAACCAATCCCCAGGCTGAGGGGTGTGCGGCCCATTAGCCCAAAGCGGACAAGGCTGAGATTGCTGCAGTGACAACAGACAACCACCAGATGGAGCCGGGAGGTTGCAACAGACATAGGGGTATTAGACGTGCTCCTAACGCCAAGAGCTTCATGTATAAAAGTTTCACGGGGCATATAGCCAGCCCAATGCTGTTCACACGGCACTAGCATACCGAGAATGGACGAGTATAGACAATCTTTCATTATCAATGTTATCTAGGGTCACTAGTCTTGTTTCACCAGGTAGAACCTTAACACGAGAAGCCCCAAGTGACTTCCACAGTTCATTTTTCATGCTGCTCAAT